ATAAATCCGTAAATTTTAACCGGTCTTCGGAAATACACCCCAGGAATGATGCTTTCCAGCCTATACGACGCATGCCGATTTGCATTTTATTAAAATCTACCCGCCATATGTTGCATCTCACCGTGATGCTATGATAAGGTATAGAAAAAAGAGAATATTCCCACTATGGGGCTATGTGGTCGCTTTTTCCTAGCGGGGGCAGACAGTTTACGACACTGACGCCGTCAGACGCTTTTGTCAGTACAAGGTTCAAGAAGTTGGCTATTTGGCCTTCATATAGTCTGGCTGGTAATGTGAAATGTTAAGTGAGATTTGATTTTTGCTCTGCTTATAGGAGGTGGCGATCGAAGTTGAATTCTGAGCCTGGGGCAGAGTTCAGACATCAGTCCGTGTTCGGAGCTTTAAAGTCGTCCATAACCATGACATAGGATCAGATCGAAAGCGTCTCTAATTCCGCTATCAGACTACTGTCTGACTGCGCGTCGTTCGTCGATGGGTGATAGACCATCAGGATGACGAGCGCTTGTGACACCGGCGTTCTGGTGGTGAGCCAAATTGTCCCAATTAAGCATGCGAGTTTTCTACCTTTTTCTGACACCAACAGGGCATACTGGACATGTATGAACACGCCCCCACCTTGACGACCAACTCTATCCTTTCTGAGCAAGTGACAACCGAAGAGCTCGACTTCGCGACCACCTACGTTCGCGGACATCCACATTCCAGTTATGGATAGAACATTTGGTAAAGTTTGGCTTGCGAGAATCTTAAACTCAACTAATCTAGAGAGCACACTTTGCTTCTGGTACATAAAGATTTAATTTAATTTAATTATTTCTATTAAAGACCCGTCGGGGTCCCATCAAAGCAGGTAAAAATAAATTTACATGCGAATTTTAGACGAGGTAGGCAAAATCTGTACAAAGTGCAAGACATAGTTTTTGAATTAGAAGTCCATTAAGAAAAATGATAAGCGAGGGGTAAAAAAACCATACAAGAATTTAAAAATGATTGGATTAATTTTACAGGAGAAAAAACCCTCGAAAAAAATAGAAACAGAAAAATGCGGGCAGGACTTTCCCGCATGTGGCGGTATAGAATGGATTACAGTCGGACATCCACAAGGCCGAAGTAAATGTCAGCTGTATATGGCATTGTACAACGGATTTCATGAAGGGGTAAGTAGGCGGATCAGTTAGGACTGGCCTGTATGTGGCCTTGAATAAGGCAAATAAGTGGCGAAATTGAAAACCAGTCTCGAGGTGATAGGAATCCCTATGCGGTCGGTTACATTCAACCGAGTCCATCCGAGGATGGGGCAAGGGAGATACGACCATACTACTAGTATATGGCGAATACAGAAGGGTTAACCAAGAGCGTCGATGGAGCGTATTCTGTGAGGGAACGATGAAAACCAGTCTCGAGCTGATAGGAACCCAGATGCGGTCGGTTACATTCATCCGAGTCCATCCGAGGATTGGGCAAGGGAGATGCGACCAGACTACTAGTATATGGTCAATACAAAAGGCTTCGCCAAGAGCGTCGATGGAGCGCATTCTGTGAGAGCACGATGCATTAACTGAAAAATTTGAAAAAGTAACATTTCTGGTGAGGGATCTCAGGAAGCGAAACTACTCACAAAGGAAGTAATTGTGAACAGATACGGAAATTTAATGGCGGCATACTAAATTCCCGGTGGCCCTTTCTCAGTGTCAAAGAAAAAGTTGCCTGGGAAGGATGAGGAAAATAAAAGTGTAATCGAGTCAGTATTCAGTTTAAGGCGTAGCCTTCTCTTAGAGATATGAAGATTTTCTGAAGATCTTATATTTATTGGAAGGTCATTCCAGAGAAAAGTATATCTGGAAGCGAAAAAAAGGGAGCGCTTAGAGGTGGAGGACGCTGGAGGAGGTATAATCAAGGACGAGTTGCGAAGATTGTATGGGCGACTACTAAGGGTGAGTGCTGAAATCCGAGGAAAATTTGAACTATGATTAATGCGAAAGAGGAGACCGAAGCCCTCTTCTAGTCTTCGAACCCATAAAAATTTTAGGTTAATTACCTGTCATCTATCTGATTAGGAGATATTGGGATGTTCCCTATCTAAAAGTTTTTTAGAAAGACGTAGTTGGGCATTTTTAGTTTTTAAACGACTAGCTTCATTCACTAAACCGAAGAATGGGCAACCATACTCGAGAATGGGACGTACAACCATACGATAGAGCATTAATTTAATTTCAGGGAGATAGAAATTGTAAGAAATAAAGCCACAAATCTGGGCGGCTTTGGCCGTAATTCTGTCGGCGTGTGGCAAGAGATCAAGATTACTAGTGTAGCTTAAACCTAAATCCTTGATGGTTGTACATTCAGTCATAGGTGTGCCTTGAAAGACCACTGGTTGGGGTAGCCTCTCAGGTCCAAAACACATAGCGACAGTTAGACGGAGAGAATTCGATTAGCCATTTTGAGCTCCAAGCTGAGAGAGCAAGCAAGTCAGCATGGATTTGCTCCAGGCAATGAAGGCTCGTAGATTTTTTGAAAGAATAAACAAATTTGAGATCATCGGCATAAATAAATGATTGAGAACGTTTAACTGCTGCCGAAATATCATTTACGTAAATCAAGAACAAAAGAGGACCTAAAACGGGGCCTTGTAGGACACCACTTACAACAGGGCTTTCACTGGAAAGTGAAGATCCAACCAAAACCTTTTGCTTACGATTAGACAGGTACGACCTGAGAAAGTCTATTATTGGACTGCGACTTCCCATAGCTTCCAATTTAACCAAGAGTCTTTTATGTGGTACTTTATCAAAGGCTTTACTAAGATCAAAATAAATAACGACAACAGATAGATGGTCATTACGAAGAGAGGTAAGTAGATTGAGAAACGATAGATGACATGTTTCACAAGAGCGATCTGGTAAAAAACCATGCTGGGATGGGCTAATAACATGATTGGCTATGCAAAAGTCGGTAATTTTTACGGCGATAATTTTTTCAAAGATTTTGGCGAGAGAGGGTGTTTTATGGACACCTCGATAGTTCTGTACGTCAGAACGACAGCCAGACTTAAATACTGGAATAATAATAAAAGTTTTCCAATGGTCAGGGAAGAAGCCATTTACGAGAAATACTGAAAAGATTTTGTTACGCAGAGGAGGAAAATCTCTTAGCTGATTTATAAAATAGTTTGGGATATTGTCTGTACCTACTGAGTGAGAGTTAGGAAGATGGCTTATCATTCAGGAGAAAAATTAATGATGCTGTGATAAGCCGGCTATGCCACCACCTTTGTCATTTGATTCAGCTGTGGCGACACACGCGCAGGATGAGTACATATAAACCGTGACGGTCGCTCGATTATGCAGTTGTTGTATATAATCAGGCTTTTTTCTCCGTTCCTCTGTCGCGGCCTGAGGTCCTGTAATAACTGCTGGCGTTGTAGTCGTTCCAGCTGAAAAAAACCCTTGGTGGGAATATTTTAATTGGAAACGTCTTGAGAGGATAAGAATAACCTACATTTGAAACTTGGAATAAGTTTAGGGAGGCAGCGATGAGGTGGGATAGGGGGTTCAGGGTTGCGCTTTTCGAGCCTGAAGACTTCCAATGCTGAAACTTCTTCGTCAGGTCAAAGCTTAGAATTTAGAAGGCTTTGAAACAAATCGAGCTCTGGATCGCGCTGCTTAGATGTGTCTGCATAGACCTCCTGAAGCCCCTTGTATTACCAGACAATGTTCTCGGGGCTGCCCGTCCTTGTTACCTGATGATGGTGCCTTAGGAGTTTCTGACAGTGCTCTCGTTGCCATCTACTTCGGGGACATGTTCTTGATCTAACGGCACAGTGCCGTGACAATATTGTCCCTACCTTTTATTATCAATAGACAGGATATCCGAATCCGCCTCAACCGTTTCCACTCGAAGGCTGGTGCGTACTGTCGAATATTCAGTCTATTGAGAGAGATGGACGTGAGTCTTTGAGTACCCTATTTGCAACGTAAAAGTAGGTGCGGTGTACGGGAAAGTTATCTGGGTCGAAATAATTCAAACGAGCCCATCATGGTATAACAAAGTGAAAGCGAGTCTCGGGGGATGAGTTCGATCTCCCATCGCTTTTGGACATTTTGCAACATAAATATGTCAAGCTTCTTTTTAAATCCCTTTATCGATGGTAAAATCACAACATCTGAAGGGGGCATTCAAGGGTTTGACCACTCGGACCGAGAAGGAGAACTTCCACACATTCAGTCTTGCCTGCTGAGTGCGCGGTTTTAACGGGTGATCTCGGAGTTTGGTCGTGTCAGCGAATTCAAAAAAGTACTCAAAGGCCAGACTGAGTCTAACTTCTTTAGTGTGCAGAATGCTTGCAAGAAATCCTCGCGAAGTTGCTTATAATTCAAGGGGAGGAGGTTCAGATTTATTAGGCTGGTAGCATAAGAACATGAACTGTGTCCCCTAACCATCTTCGCGGCTTCAAGGAAATGCTGATCATGAACTTCCCAAGGTCTCTAGGTCTCTAGGTCACGTACATTAGGAACAAAATGGGTTTCAGTACTGACCCCTGGGAAACACCCCTTTTGAACACAGCAAGATCTGATTTTCCTTAAATTATGCAAACAAATTGCTGTCGACCCGCATGGAAGTTTGTCGTAAGTCGTGTGGTCGACAAGATAAAGATTCCGAATCAAAAGTCAGGGAAGATGGTTTGAGTTGGACAAACTTTACTGCTTGGAAAGCGTGTACACAAAGGCTGTGTGGGTAGTCGCCGCAAGCGCGCTCCAAGCAAGCTGTTGTCTGCGTCCGCCCTCGAGGTGTTGTGTCCGCGCGTGTGTGCGCCCTTCGTTGTCTCAATCTCGCCATCCAATCAGAGTGGGGGCAGCGTTCATTGGCTTCGAGCGCTCGCGCATCCCATCAGCGCATCGACAAGGAGTGTGAGGCGGACAGGAGGGCAGCGTGACAAAGGCGGAGAGCGAGGAGACGCGAACTGCTACAGTGCCCCCCGGCTAGACCGAAGGTGGCGCGTAGCGATACCGAAGGAACTGTTGATGTCTAAAAACATGAGTAACGAAACGGTCAGGAAAGTGAACATGGCGTCCACTACGGGTGATATATACAGGGGGCACAGGATTAGAGTGAATATGGCTCGCGGTTACAGTGTTGTTTGTTGATGAAGGGGTAGTTGCAGTTGGGAGTTGTGGACATGAGGGCAGAGGAAGTATACGGGACGGTGGAATACAGGGTCGGGTAGGCGGAGCAGGGGGTAGGGGACCACAGGGCTCATCCGGAGGAGTGTCCGGGACGGCAGCTTTGAGACGGTCCACGCTCACGACCTCCTCGCGAGTGCCGCGTTGGATGCGGAAGTTCTTCGTCTCACGAGAGATAACTCGGAAGGGGCCATCGTAGGGTGCTTCCAGGGGCCGGCGGACTCGATCACATCGCAGATAGACGTGAGAGCATGTCGCCAAATCTTTCTCGAGGTAAGATTCGGAGACGGATGGCCTGGGCGGAACCGGAGAAAGTGTCCGTAGGAATTGCCGGAGGCGATGCAGGAGGTTGGTGGGATCTTCAAATGCACCTTGCGGGGTTGGCGAGATCATCTCACCGGGGAGTCGGACGATGGAGCCGAACACCAGTTCAGCTGCGGAACAATCAAGGTCCGACTTGAGGGAGGAGCGAATGCCCAAGAGGACTAGGGGGAGGTGTTCTGTCCAGTTCTCCGGATCGTCTGCGGCGCGTAGGGAGGCCTTCAGCTGACGGTGAAACCGCTCGACCATCCCGTTGGCTGCCGGATGATAGGCTGTAGTGCGGATGCGAGTACAGCCTAAAAAGGAGAGTAAAGGCTGGAAGAGGTGAGACTCAAATTGGGCACCACGGTCAGTCGTGATAATGGAGGGAGCACCGAAAATGGCAACCCAACGACTGAGGAAAGCCTTGACGACCGTTGGAGCTGCGACATCAGGCAGTGGAATAGCTTCCGGCCACCGGGTGAATCGATCCACGCAGGTAAGGAGATAGGAGCAGCCATTGGACAGAGGCAGGGGGCCTACGATGTCCAGGTGGATATGACTGAACCGTGCGTCCGGAGTAGGGAAGGTGCCAATGGGAGTTTTGTTGTGCCGTCGGACCTTATTCCGTTGACAGCCGAGACACGCCCGTGTCCATGCTTTCAGGTCCTTGTGCATTCCAGGCCAGACGAAGCGGTCGGAAACCAGCTTGTCGGTTGCTCGACTCCCAGGGTGAGAGATGTTGTGCAGGGAGGAGAAAACTTTACGGCGGAGGGATGGTGGCACAAATGGGCGATGGGAAGGGGTGGATACGTCGCATAAAATGGTGCCGTTGCCAGTCGTCAGTGGTAGTTCCTGAAGTTGGAGTCCGGAAACATCCTCATCACAGGGTGGACCGACACGGCGTTGTTCAGCGGCCATCTCAGCGAGGTCTATCCCGGGTGAAATCTTAAGATGAGCAATAGAGGGCCTTGAGAGTGCGTCAGCCACCTCATTCCGTGACCCGTCAATATGGCGGATGTCTGAAGTGAACTGCGAAATGTAGTCCAGGTGACGGATCTCCCGGGGGCTTAGCTTGTCACAGTGGGAATGTATTGCAAACGTGAGTGGCTTATGATCAGTGAAAATTGTGAACTCTCGACCTTCGAGTAAATGCCGGAAGTGCCTTACGGCAAGATAAGCGGCGAGAAGTTCCCGTCCGAATGTGCTGTAGCGGGTTTCGGCTTTGGATAGTTTCTTGGAGAAGAAAGCCAAAGGCACGGTAGAATCCGGCAGACTTTGTTGAAGAACCGCGCCAACAGCAACATTGGAGGCATCGACCATCAAAGATATGGTTGCATCAGCGTGAAAGTGAGTCAGGAGGGTGGCGTCAGCCAGAAGGGCTTTTACCTGCTCAAATGACGTGAGTGCTGCTGGTGTAAGTTCAAAGTTGCGTTTAGAACCTGAGAGGAGATTGGTCAGAGGTAGGATGGTGTCGGCACAGTTTGGGAGAAACCGGCGATAAAAGTTCACCATACCAAGAAACCGTTGCAACTGACGCTTCGAGGTAGGGGGTGGAAAGTCCCGAATGGCGGCAACCTTTGAGGGAAGAGGCCGAATGCCGTGGGAGTCGACCAGATGACCGAGAAATTCTAGGGAGGGCACACCGAAGACGCACTTGGACGAATTGAGAACAAAGTCAAATTGTTGAAGGCGGTCAAACACCGTTGCCAGATGCTCCATGTGTTCTTCGGCGGTGGAGCTGGCTACCAGAAGGTCGTTGATATAAGCGTAGACAAATGGTAGGCCGCGAAGCACTCTGTCTACGAACCTTTGGAAGGTTTGGGAGGCGTTGCGAAGTCCAGACGGCATGCGCAGGAACTCAAAGAGGCCAAAGGGGGTGGTAACGGCCGTCTTCGAAACGTCCTCCGGGGCTATGGGAATTTGGTGGAAAGCACGGACCAGATCGATCTTCGAGAATACAGACTTGCCGAATAGGGCACCGGCAAAATCCTGAAGATGTGGGACAGGATAGCGGTCCGGGACAGTAACGTTGTTCAGGGCCCTGTAATCACCGCAGGGGCGCCAGTCACCAGTGGCGGCCTTTGGAACCATGTGGAGGGGTGAGGCCCATGGGCTTTCAGACTGACGGATGATGCCCCATTTGAAGCATATGCTCGAATTCGGCCTTGGCGGCAACAAGACGTGTAGGCGCGAGACGGCGGGGGCGAGAAAACACGGGAGGGCCAGTGGTCCGAATGTGGTGAACAACGTCATGTGGTGGAATAGAAACGTTGAAGTTGGGACGAGTGAGGCCGGGGTATTTGGCGAGGAGTTGCCGAAATGGATTCTCGGGTTCAGGGTCCAAGACGGCAAGATGACGGGAGGTGTCAGAGGAAGAGATACCCCGGACAGTGAGGTTGGTAGTCTTGTCGTGTAGACGTGACTGACGGCAGTCGACCAGAAGATCGAAAGCGGCGAGGAAATCTGCACCGAGAATTGCACAGGGAATGTCAGCAACGACGAAGACCCAAGGGAGGAGACGCCGGAGACAGATGTCCAGAGAGAGGGAGCAGGTGCCAGATGTGGTAATCGGCGATGTGTTGACGGCCTGTAGGAAAAGACCGGGATTGGGACACCGACGATCAGCTGGTGTGGGTGGAATGACACTTAGCTGGGCACCAGTGTCAACCAAGAAACGTCTGCCACTCCGGGTGTCGCGGACGTAAAATGTGCGACCAGGGTTAGAGCTGTCGGAAAGATTGCTTGAAATGACCTTCCGGCTGACCGGTTTTACCCGTTTGTTCTGCTTGAAAGTGAAGGAGCAAGGAGAGACGCAGCGACGGGCTTTAGCACCGAAAGTAGTGTGGTACCAGCAGGTGGCAGCTGCGTTTGGACGGGCTGAATGTGAAGACTGGCGATGCGGGGTGGACGGCGGCGGTTGGCTCCGAGATGAGGCAGAAACTGTGGGCTTCTGGAGAGCGGCTATATCATCGGCCAGCTTGTTGAGCTCGATCTCTAACTGCGAAATGGGAGACGCAGGAGGAGCTGAGAGTGCTGAAATAGATGGTTTGGAAAAACCGTGCATCTCCATAAGCCGATCGGCCATTTGAGTAAGTTGCGTGGCCGAAAGAATGCCGAAGGCGGGTGCCAAAATATGCTGCACTTCCGGTGGAAAGTTGTCCATGCTTAACGTTTGACTTTGTTGTAGATTAGGAAGAACGAAGATTGCTGTTCGCAAGGGGTCACTAATTGTCGAAGGTTGTGTGGTCGACAAGATAAAGATTCCGAATCAAAAGTCAGGGAAGATGGTTTGAGTTGGACAAACTTTACTGCTTGGAAAGCGTGTACACAAAGGCTGTGTGGGTAGTCGCCGCAAGCGCGCTCCAAGCAAGCTGTTGTCTGCGTCCGCCCTCGAGGTGTTGTGTCCGCGCGTGTGTGCGCCCTTCGTTGTCTCAATCTCGCCATCCAATCAGAGTGGGGGCAGCGTTCATTGGCTTCGAGCGCTCGCGCATCCCATCAGCGCATCGACAAGGAGTGTGAGGCGGACAGGAGGGCAGCGTGACAAAGGCGGAGAGCGAGGAGACGCGAACTGCTACAAGTTCTCGATCTATTTAAAGAAGCTGTCTCTGATCCCCATTTTTTCAGTTTGTGTAACAGTTTTTGGTGTGGCACACTGTCGAACGTTTTCAGGAAGTCAGTGAAAGGTATGTGGACCGCGTGCACATCGTCGAGAGCATGGGTCCAATTCCGAAGAGAGTGCAGTTAGTTTGTCGTGCGAGGTCTTCCTTTAGGAAACGGTGTTGGCAATTCGATAGCAGGTCGTGGACCTTCAGGAATTGCATTGATTCCTTCTTAATGATCTGCTCCATAACTTTGCATAGAATGCATATCTAGCTCAGGAGCCTGTAATTTGTCGTCGATGCCCTGCTACCTCCTTTGTATACCGGAGTAATATGTGCCAGCTTCCAACCGGAAGGAAGTGTCTCAGTGTCAACCGACGTTTGAAAGCGCATGGAAAAAGGCCCGGAAAGCGCATCGGCAATTTCTCTTAGAAGCTCGGGTGAAATCTCGTTTGGTCCTGGTGGCTTCGATTCGTTCGACGCCTCTAATTCTCTTCGAACAATGCCTTCTGAGAAGAGTTTATCATTTATGCTTGGAGTTGGCAGTTCTTTTTTGGATTGAGGAGGGAACCTCGTCTCTGTTTTCTAGAATAACTGGAAAAATTGTGAAAAATACGAAGTTTTGTCTTTGATATCAGCAATCGCAACGCCACCGGTAGCCTTTATTAAGCGGATTTTGCGTCTGTTCCTCGTACTTCTTCTGAGGTAGCTGTAGAGTAATTTTGGGTTCTCTGTTGTTTTTCGCGGCGCGTCTTTATAATCATGCTTCTCAGTTTGTTTCTTTGTGTCTTGTAGTTGCCTATCTATCCAACTTGTCCACTGCCATAGTATTTTTACCTCAATCAATGCCCCCGCTCATCCTTGGACGGGGATCGTTGATGAGTTGCAGAAGGATATTCTTGAACAACTCCCAGGCATAGTTGGCATTGCCCGTATACAATGAACTCTCGTGGAGACCAGATAAGTCTTCTCTCATCTGATTGAAGTCGCCCCGGAAATGTTGCGTCTTTTTCTATCTGTAATATGCAAAATGGAGAATAACGAATAATCCCACAGAAGCACTACATGGTCACTTCGACCGAGGGTCAGCATGGAAGTGGCCTCGTCTATGCTCTCTGACGTTTTCGTAAAAAATAAATCCAGGAAGTAAGCCTTTGTCTTTCACGTGTCTCGTTGGAAACCTTACACGTTGTGTAAGGAGCGCCCTTAATGTTTTGTGCAGCAAACCGTAGTAAAATTTCGATTTCGGACCTGTCGCTTGAAGGATATTCCGGTTTATTCCTGGTGCGTTGAAATCGCCCATGATCAGGGTGTTGGATCGACTGAAAAATTTATCCAACTGCTCCACTTTTGAGTGTTGCCGATTTGATCTGTCCTAGGCGGTCGGTAGACAGTGAGGATATTGAGACACAGGGAACCAGTAGCCTTGATGGTCAGCCAAATAGCTTCCGTGCTGCGTGCAAACGTGGGGATATTTTTCGACACTGACAGGTCATCCTTAACATACACAACAATGCCATCACGCGGACGATTTTTCCTGTCCCTACAATAAATTTGGAATCCAGCCAAGGCTACCTAACCATCGCTAATATTCCCGGACAGCCAGGTCTCGGTTACTGCTAAAACATCGGGAGACAGCTCGGCAAGGTTTTAGCTCGACAAGTTTCGATATGAGGCTGTAAGCATTTGCATACATGCACCTCCGTTTTGCCAAACCAAATTTCCAGCTGCTTTGTCACTGTCATGGGCATGACTGCGTTATTTCGGACCTCCATTTCACTGGACTCTTCTGTTTCTTGATGGATTCCAGTAATGTCCGTTGCTTTGATCAGAATACTAGGTGTTAAGGGCTTACTTGTGTTGTCGCCTCAAACGGCTGTTTTTACGAAGCTGCCTGTGTTGGCTAGTTAGCTGCCGTCGTTCTTATTATTACTGGCTGGCTCCACTGAAACGGCATATTTGCTGAACTACTTTGCCCTTGAAGAAGACCAGGCCGTGTTCGCCATTCTCCAGTCTCGATTTTAGCTCCAAGACGGGTTCCCGACGTTTTAGTCGTTCCGCTGGATAGTATTCCGGTTGAAAAACTGTTTGTGTTTGTTTCTGAAGTTCGCTTTTTTGGAGAGGATCAACTTGATTAGTTCTTTGTTCTGGTAATAATAATAATTGCATTTAATGCCAGTTTACAGACATTGTCAGGGAAGTGTTAAACACAAATCAGGCCAGCGGGGAAAAAACTCCTGTCAAAACGGATTAAAAATAAAATTGACGGTGATTTTTTATATTTTGGAGGATTCAGGCGAAAAAAACTGCTAACCACAAAATGTCGACCGTCAAGAAGGGCGGGGTTGCACGGCATCGGATATCTTCAGTCGCCAATTCTTTTCACGAAGCTGGGGCTGGTCTAAACAGAAGCGCCGAAGAACAACTGCCGCTGTTGGCTAAAGAAATTGTCTCTGGTGAGACCGGCCATGGAGATCAGAGACTACAAACGCCATCGCGACGGTATAGTCAATCAGAGTATTCAGCACCCAAAATTTGTGGGAGTTTTTCTGAATGCAAAAATCGAATTATAGTTCTCTTAAATAAAGGATAATTGTGCAGAGTTTTCACATTTCTGAGTAGTTAATTCCAAACAGGAATTGCATTTACAGAAAAGAAACGACGATATTTAACGGTACGTGTCAGAGGAACAAATAAAAAGACCTCATGGTGACTGCTACATCGGGGGTGGACAAGATGACTTAAAGCAGTGAGTTGGTTAAAGGTACGATTATACAAAAGCCTAAACAGCAAAAATAGCCGCTTTTGTAATCAACGAAACCATAAAGGATCAAGGCCCGTAAGTCGGCAACGTTCTTGGTACGACAAGTGTCAGTGTTCCGGGGTTAAAACGCTCTTGGCAAAAAGATGTTGGACGGATTCTATTTTCTTGCGCATAGCAGCACACATGATGCCAAATAAAAGCGAACAGTATTCTAGGCCAGATCTAACGTACATGTTATAAAGACACATTCTAATATCGCTGATTTTAATATTTCGGAGGATAAACCCTGTCGTTCTACGTGCTTTGTGGACTATCAGTGTGCAGTACTCTGAAAGACTACGACTCTTGGAGTATGATACGACCAGATCCTTAATAACCCCAGGCACATTTAAGGCGTGACCGTAAATACTTAGTTAAGGTTGGCGGTCGTCACCAACTACCATGACTGGGCACTTATGTCAAGGAAGAGAGAAGCGCCATGCACAGCAACACTGGGCAAAGGCCAGTTGGTCGCTCTTTAGGAGCTCGAGCACGATGTCGCGATCTGCCGGCTTATATCGATATGCAACTTTCAAATCATCGCATACATGACGCAATGCGTCAGAGCTAGGCGTGGGCATCGCTCATCATCCGGCGGCCACCATGCGTATCAGCATCATGAAAATGAAGGATCGACTGGACGTCGGTGAACAGTTGGGCGTAGTCTATCAAATCCCGTGCCAAAACTGACCTTGCCGCTACACAGGCCAGACAGGTCGACGTCTCAGCTCACGAATGCTTGAGCACAAGCGGGCCGTTCAAAGAGGCGACCCACTATCTCAAGTCGCCACTCACACGCTGGAGGAAGGCCATGACTTCGACTTCGCCAACATGCGGATGTTGGCGCGAGCCGCCAACAAGACAGGGCGAGAACTGTTGGAAGCGTGGGTGTCGGACACCAACTCTATCAACAGACACATCGATTGGCCTGCTTGTAAACACTCGCTCCGTCCACGCAGTCAGGTGGCGCAGCTCACATCGTCGCAAAGTACAAACGGCGTCACCACGCCGGGGGACCATCGTGGACTAGGCGGCACAAACCTTACCTAGCCGCAGACGTAGTCATCCCTCCCTCCCCCGCCGCAAGGAACAGCGATATAAATATTCACACTTTGCTGCACTCATGCAGTCTCTGATGGTGAACTCCAGTTCGAGTTCGAAAGCTCAGACAAATAAATCTGCTGTCCCAGTGATCGTGCCTTCGTCTTCTATTAAACCAGAACCTGGGATGCGCATATTCTCTTCCATTCATGATATATACAGCTATATTAGATCAGATCAAACAGTCAACCACTACTCCTATAACGCCACATTCACAAGAACAATATGATACGTGATTCAATATTATTTTGAGAGCTTTGATTGTGACTTGGCATTGAATGTTTCTTGCTCCTGATATATATGCATCTTTTTCACCTCTTAGTCCAGACAACTATGGCAAGCCGCATTAAAAACACGAAGGAAATATGCGACCGCCCCTTTACCGCAGGCCAGATAGGCTGACAACAAGCAACAAGGCACCTTAATTTACTTCTAAAACTCGGAAAGGCAGGTTTGCTTAAAAGGAGGAAAAAACAGACCAGCGGGAAAAAGAGACGGGAGGCTTTGTGTCGTGATTTGAGTGTGCTTCTTCTCTTTGGCGTTTTGAGATGTGGACAAAGGACTATATCCGCACACCGTTCAGGACCCCGTGGATATCGCGCCACCAGAACCACCTTCTTGACCCCCGAGCATCTTCTTTCCTCCGTCTATTCCCAGAGA